CCGCCCGCCAGCATCCCCGCCAAGTCCCCGGCCCCTCTCCTGCGCGGCCCCGCGGGGCTCCAGGGGCGCGCTCGGGAACGGGGGTCAGGCCTCCAGGGGAGGGGCCGGTCTTCCGGACGCCGGACCGAGACCCCGGGCGGGACGCGGGCGGGCAGAGGAACAGGCCAGGCCGGCAGGTTGGGGCACTGGACAGGCAGGCAAGGGCAGCCGGGCCCTCCGCGCGGCCGGGGAGCCTCCCCGCCCCTCACCTGCCGGCCCCACCTACCCCAGGGCCCCGCCCCAGTCAGCCTGCACCTGTCCGGCGGCACCTGCGGCCCCGCCCTTCACCGGCCGGGCTCGCCGCCGCCTGCAAGCCGGCCGGGCGGTCTCCGCGCAGTCTGCGGAGTGTTCTCCGAGCCCCGGGCCAGGTGGGGTTCGCCCCAGCCCCCGGGCCGGCCTCAGTGGCGGCTCAGGAGAGACGCGTCCACACGCCACCTGCTCCCCCGTTCTTGGACCTCCAGGCCGGCCCTTCACCTTTCCCCATCGCCGCCTGGCTCGGCTCACCTGGGCTGAGCGCCTCCACACCCTTCCCGGACCCCGCAATCTCATTCCTGACCTGTGGGCTGCCGCCCGCCTGTGCTCCTAGGCTGGACACGGACCGTGCACCCCGCGTCCCCTCCCCGGGCGGGTGGGCGCACAAACGGCCGCAGCCCCCACACTAAACACCCTTGCAGGCCAGCCTGACTGAACGGCGCCAGCCGCCCCCACCACAGCGGCGCGGTTTTCAATCAGGTCCTCATCTGGCTGTCTCTCCCTAGTCCAGAATAGCCCCTGGTCCTCTCCCGTCTTCCCGGAGCTTTTTGGGGGCACAGCTATGTCCTGTTGGAAGGCCCTGCTTTCTGGATATGCCGGTGCTCCCGTGGGGTCGTCGGACTTTGCTGGGTGGGCATCTGGGGCAGGAACGCTGTGGGGGGGGCAGAGCAAGGGGCACATGGCCAGCAGCCCTCACCCCCAGTTGCCCCAGCTCACTGCCCCCACGACCCCCAGCCCCCAGGGAATGGTGCCTGGGGGCTGGGAAGCAGCACGGGTAGCTTCCAGGCCCACCAGCTGGAATTCTCCCTCAAGACCCTGCGGGGATGGAACGTCCTCCTGAGAAGACTGGGGAACGCCTCTCTCTCTCCTGGTGTGAGTCAGTGCCAGCTGGGCAGGCAAGACTGAGGACCGCCAGGGGCGGGATCTTCGTTTACAACCAATTCTCGGTGTTTCATACTCATGCTGTCCTCGTTCTGCTCAGGAGCACCCCTTCCCCAGGACTGTAGAGCCACCTGCCCTCCCAGATCAGCGTCCCCAGAGCCCTGGTGTCTTTATGTGGCCTTCTGAACTGTGGAGCCGAGAAACAGGCTCCCGCCCAGGCCTCATGTCGCCCGCAGGCTTACACGGCCCCTGTCCCCACTGTCCCCGGCCACTGACTCCCGCGATGGCGTGTAGGTGCCTGCCAGGGCACCGCAGAGAACCTGGACAGGAGCCGCTGGCTCAGGGCCCAGCCCAGGGAGAAGGCAAGGGCTGAGACCCAGCAGCCCCCCACCCACACCTGCCCCCACAAAAATAACCTCTCCCACATGGTTCTGGAGCCGTGTCTGAGCTCTCAAGACCTACGGGGCAAAGGGAACGTGACCAAGGCTGGCCTCAGGGAGAGGTGGGATGCTAGTGAGGGTGGCCCTCAGGCAGGGTGTCAGGACTCAGTAAAGGTGGAGGGATCCCACACAGCGCCCCATGCAGACTGGTGCCAGTGAAAGGGTGAGGCCACCTGAGACAGGGTGGAGGTCCCCGGCTCAGGGTGGGGTGGTCTGTCTGCCGGAGGGAACTGGGAGGATGGTGGCGGGGG